GGCAGAAAGTGAGTGGATGTCTCCTTGCTCCCTTTTTCAATCCAGGAAAAGATTGAGGCCATAAACCAAGCTCTTGTAAATGAGTATGAAGTGAGAAGAAAGATGTTGTTGAAACGTCTTGATGTAACCGTGCAGTCCTTCGGCTGGTCTGAAAGAGCCAAGGTACGTTGCTTATCCAGGCATCAACATGCACAAAATGTATTTGGTTCTTTTTAATAGTGCTGACTGATGAATTGATTTTGACTGTGCTGTTATTAAAGAGTTACACATTTTTGGAAAATGTAACTCAATGCTCTCTCAGGGTTTTGGAAGCCAATTCAGAGCTGACCACCTTGTTTTACAAGAATGTTTCATAGGAGGAACTTCTTGACAAATATTTCCTGTCATTTGTAATTTTGTTTTAAGAAAGGAAATGTGAATGATATAAAAATGGATTAAAATCAAATTTTGTATGAAAAAAAATACATATTTTTAAGTAATATCATTTTGCTGTAGTTTTTACTATTTATGACTTCTAAGGATACATTTTGTCTAACTTAATAACAAAATGGAAATGAACACTGTAAAAAAACTAGCTGCATACATTCTGGAATTGTCACATTTTGTGAGTTCAAAATATCCCACTTTCTACTTCCTCTTTCAATTGTAGATTATATGAAGATAAGTGTGTAATGTATGAGACGGGATGCAGTGAACTCATTATGGACTATAATGGTCAGAACTAGTCTTCTAATTTTCTGTGTGAATTTTGGATTGAAAGTATGAATATGATTTTAATACGTCATCCTGAAGGTCTTTGAAGGTTTTTATTTTTTTTTAAACAAAGTTCTGCTGATTTCTCCAAATCTCACTGTGTTGAAGAAGCACTGGGTTGAATCTGATAGAAAATCTGTGAAGCTATCCGGAGATGAGGGCTTTCAACCTCAACACAAAAGATTAATGGTCAAACATCTCAGTTTAGACGCACAAAATCTCAGCAGCAATAAAAGGGAACACCTCAAAATCAGGCCTGCATGAAGACTTTTTTTTCCCCCTTTTTCCCATGTTTTATTAAAGATCAAAGCTGAGAAGTTGAGTAAAGTGTACCAGCCACTGCGTTCTGCCCTCCTCACCAAAAGCAACATTTCTGTCGCTCACCTTCTTGCTGCACGACAAGACTTCTCCAAGATCCTTCGTACAAGCAGTGGCAAGATAAGAGAGAAGACAGCCTGTGCCATTAATAAGGTGGGTGTGTTCCAACAGCGTCACACTGTTTTCCTCCTATTAAATCAGGGATTCATTATTTCCTTGATTGTAATCATCATTTCTGCCATGTGGAAAATAACCACACCAGAAGTTTTCTTGTACGTTTACACTTCACACTTCCGAGTACTTGGTGCAAACGTGAGAGACACTTTCAACTTTATGCATAGAGTACATGGTGGAGGGAACTAAATCAACCAATAAAAATGTTAAAACTCCCATCTTCATTTTGTGTACTACCTGTATACTAAACTAAATTAATCTTGCTGATCAGATGCTGACATCGCTGAGAGCTATGGAAACTTTGCAGCTCGTCTGGTTCAGAACCACATTCCAAACTTTGGCGGAAGAGACACATTGAACAAGTGAACAATACATGCAGAACAGAAAACTAAATGAGAATGCTGTGCTCTGTTGGTCTATTTATAGTCTAGGTAAAAGAGAAGGCAGTTTTCCCTTTGGAGGAAAGAAACTAAAGTGTAAAAGTTAATTAGGCCTCAATAACCACAGCACAGTGGACAATAAATACATATGCAACCCCACCCTGCTCCACTCAATCACTCATCCTGGAGATTTGCTTACGTTTGGTCTCAAAGTAAAAGCAGTAAAATCTGAATTAAAATGGCATGTTAGATTAATTCAGAGGAAAAAATGAGTTTGCTTACTCTGTGTAATAGAATCTCGATAATCTGCTCAACTTGTTGAATATTAAATAGATAGAATGAAAATGACATTCGACTGAATAGCTTATGTAATTAGCATCATAAAAATTATCTGATAAAATAGATTATAACAGAATATTTTTAATGCCAGCACAACCTCTGACCCACAAACTACAAATAAAACATTTTGTGGATCATATTTTCACTATAAATGTAACAACCAATTCATATTTAAATATATATGTGAAACTCATTGGGCTGGACAGGTAATTAGATATTTTTGGGCCTTTTTTTATGATCACCTACAAACCCAAAAATGTCTCATTGGATCACTTTATGTTGAGCTGACCCAATCACATCTCTAATTACTAATCACACACGTCTTCACAGCAGGAAGAGCAGCAACATTTTTCTGTTACCAGTTGTTGAACACAGGCAAATGTATGTGCATCAGCTACTCTTTAAAATGAGAACAACAGCACAGATGTAACTGCCAGCAAGAAGTTGGTCACAGTCAAATTCTCTGAAGGAGAGGCGCTCTGTAGGGCAGGACTGCAGATCCGAGGCAGAGCCTTTGGTGAATGAGCAGGCCCTCCTGATCGGTCGCCACGAGAGGGCAATTTCGTAAAAAATGCGTGAATGCATCACAGGAACACTCCAGATATGTTTCTGAGGATATAACATTATAATACGATATAAAACTAATAGAAGTTGGATTTGCGTAACACGCATTTATAAATAACACAAATTACAGTCTGCAGACATCTAACGCTGACTGTTTTGTTTTTCCTTTTGTTATCTCACTGACTTAAAAACCCTTTAGCTTTCAACAACTTCAACAACATCTGACTCTGCTCCTCAGGTTCTGATGGGCCGAGTGCCGGACAGAGGTGGAAGACCATGCGAGATCGAGCCTCCGCCTCCAGAGATGCCGTCCTGGCAGAAACGTCAGGATGCCCCTCAAGGTGGAGGGCACTACAGTGGGTCCCACGGGGGCAGCAGAGGGGGCTATGATAACTTTTCATACGGTGGCCGTGGAGGCTATGAAAGAGGTGGTGGAGGCGGACATGAAGACAGGGGGGGCAGAGGAGCCGGTGGGAGAGGAGGGAAGGTGCAGGGAAACTGGGGAGAGGGAGCTGGAGGGGGGAGAGGTGGGTACAGCCAGGGTCACTACCAAGACGCAGGAAATTATCATGGAGGAGGAGGGAGAGGAGGCTATATGGGAGGGGGAGCCAACCAAGGAGGATTCCAGGATCAGGGCTTTCATGGGGGAGGTGGGAACTACAACAACAGTTACAGCCAGGACGGGGCTGGCACCAGGAAAGAGGCGGTGGCCGTGGAGGTCGAGGGGGCAGGGGCAGAGGCAGCAGAGGAGGTCAAGGTGGAGGCTGGGGGGTAGAGGCGGTCAGAACTTCAACCAAGGAGGACAGTTTGAACAGTTTTTCCAACATGGAGGGCAGCAGTACAACCAGGCTGGCTTCAATCAAGGCAGACACTACACCAGCTGAAGATCAGAACACTGAATTCAGGAACTTCAGAGAAAAGCCTTATCTGAGCAGGTTCAGCAAACGGAAGCAAGAAATATGTCCTCTACATATTTTTATTTGGGTCACGTTCTCTGTCGACTGTTAAGTAATTGAAGATATAATCTTTTGCGTCCTGGTATGTTTTCAGTTTTGCCTTATTAATACGTTTTTGAAGCTGCCCTCCAGCTCTATTTGAAATAGCTTGGGTAGCTGGACTCTGCTGTGCTGATTTCATCCTGGTAGTTCAATCGGCCTTACTGAACGTTCTTCCTTAACGCAGAAAGTGTTCCTCACGCGTCAGTGTTTGTGCACCTTTTGTGTGCAGTGCACATGTGTACCACACACAGGAGGGTCACTGAAATCAAACATTACTTGAAAGCGGTGTCAATTTTCCAGTCCACATTTCATTTCAGTATATTTGACTGGAAATTTCTGAGTTACTTATTTAAAAGATGCCAACTTGCACAGCTGTGTGGATACAGTTCTAAATGTTGGAAGGTTTGTATGGATGTGTGAATGAGGAATAAAAGGAATAAAAATCCCTTTTTGCATCGAGCAGTGTGGTGATTTCATCTGCACAGTTTGCAGTATTTAGTGTTGGTTCCCACTGATGGCCCAACAGGGAACATCAACCAAAATAAAAACAAAATCCTGGGAAAAGATGCATCCATTTGATGCCTTGTTACGGATCAATTGGAAAATCATTCGTAAATCAGAATTAACATGTATTCATGCAAACTAACGGATTGAGGAAGTTTGTCCATTAAGAAGTATAATATGTTGTGATTCGAGTTAATCATCATATTCATTAAAAAAAAAAAATTCTATTCGTAGACCAGGCCTTTTATTAGAGATTCAGTTATTAATTTATAGAATTCAGGCAATGGGTTTATGAGTTATTTTTATATGGATACCATCACCTGGAGGAATAAAAGGAAATGAGTTGGCAGATAAATATGCAAAATAATTGACAAAAAATTTATTAATTGGTACCATTCAGTAAATAAGATGGCTTCTGCCATCTTTAAGAAAAGATGGCAGAAGCAGTGGGAAGAAGATGGAACTGTTAGGTGTCTGTATAGTATCCAAAGAAAAGTTTATGCAATGAGGAGAACAGGACGAAGTAGAAAAGAGGAAACTTATATCCAGATTGCGTTTTGGTCACACATTGTTAAATAGTACATTATTTAAAATGGGAAAACATCCAACAGGAAACTGATTTCTGTTTTCAAGAAGAAACAGTGAAACATGTTTTGTTGTTTTGTTCTAAATATTCTGTTGATAGAAGGGAATTAGTATGTAGATTACAAGAAAAATAAATTACAGTTAAATATATATATATTTATGACAAAAATTTTACTTCTGAATATTTTTGTTCTTTTATGAATTGTCTTAAGAGAATTAAATTGATGGAAAGGACACAAGTTTTTGTTTATTTATGTATTTATTTATTTGGAAGAATATGTATGTAGCATCCTGATCTACACTCCATTCCAGTAGATGGCGGTAATGCACATCAGAATGTCGCTTGCCAACCGCCATAAAAAATAAGAAGTTTCGTCACTTGTAGTTCCGGTGGCTTCTGCAGCCTGTTTGTACTGTAGAAGGTATCACACCTGGCCAATTTCTACGGAGACTTGACATTTATCGTTTCCTTTAAACGTGAGCCCAGAGTGACCTCTGGGAGGTTCTGCGCTTTTGCATGTACCGGCCGGACCAACCCGCTCAGAGGCCACGGGTGCCGTTTGGTTCTCCACCGCCCCTCGGTCTGCATGTCAGACCCCCGGTGGCCTGTCCCCGCCTCATCCTGGACACGGTGGACCGTTTTCGGATAACCGTTTTCTGTTCAGCAGGCCGCCAGCAAGCCACTTCCTCAGTGTACGTACCGACTTGTTCCAGAGCTAGCTCTATGGCTAATAGCGCTGTTAGCTTCACACAGGCAGCAGGTTGATTCAGTCTTTGTTGTGCTACAGCTTCTATTACTGGAGTATATATCAGAATATGAAATCAGTCAAACACCCCTGTTGTTTACTTTGATAAGATTTATTTAAACTATAGCTGTTTGCTAAATATACCAACCATGAGCTGTTTGCAGTGTTTCTATATCATGACAGTTTTTAAATGTTCCTGGTATCCTCCATAATGGAGGACATGTAAACTAGAGCCATAGCCTGAGAGTTTGAAGGAAATTGACTGTCATTAGTGTTTTTTCTTTTTTAAAATCTTTTGCACAGTAATTGTGTAGTGGATATCATAAAGAGCATACGCCTACTCAAGAAATGCTTACCTGAGTACAGCTTTTAATGTATAAAAATGTGCATATGTATTTTTGGATCAAAGAGTATTTACAATATGTTAAAAAAAGGAGGAAAAAAAAGATAAAACTGCAAATGCATAAATGTTTTCAGTGAAACAAGATTTTCAAGTGAACGAAAACAGTCTTTGAAAGGTAAATCACTAGTTTATGTGAGAGCAGAAGCTCAGAGATGATGGGGCTCTTGCTGTAGCGGCCCCTCGGTTATGAACCAGGTGGCCTCTACATGCTAAGCAGCTCCTTCACTGGCTCCTCTGAAATCCATCTATTTTCCCAGCAATCGACGCAGCATATATTGTTTGTTCTTTCATGTTCTGTCTTTTATTTAACTTGATATTGTTATATCTTTACTTATCCCCTGAGTGTACAATACTTTGATCAAACATTTGTTGTGTTCAAGTGTGCTTTATAAGATGAATTGGACTGAATAGCCATGGATTCTGCATGAAATCACAGCTTATGTTGATCCTCAAAACCATGGTGTGTTTTTGCAACCAGCTTCTTTGATCTTATCTAGTTAATAATAGGCACAAAACATAATTCACACAATATTGACAGTAAACGTATGTCCCAAAGATTGGATGCACTTTGCTACACTATGGTAGTGCAGTAGTTAGGAAAATGTTAGAAAATCATGGGATGGTAATATAGCATTTAAGCAAAGAATCCATATTTTCTGTTCTTCTCTGCCTCAAAAACTCTGGGATGTTAACCCCCATGGGCACCGTCAGCTCTGATGGGGTGAGCATCTTATAAAGTGAAACTTCACTGAGACAGAATTTTAAATCTGTGCAATCTGAGCTCATGGAATAAAATGATTCCACACACTTGGGTGATATCGTTACACACACAGCTTTTATGATATTTTATAACCAACAGCTTTGAAACATGATTGAACATCTTTAGTTTTCTAATGTTCATTTTATGTGAACTTTATTAAAATGGCAAAATGCAGCTTACATGGCCGTGGCTGGCAATATTAAGACACCTGCAGTCGTCTCTGGTTGTGGAAAATCCTTCATCCAGAGCTAAATGTGACGTTTAAGTAACTGAAATGACTGTAAGAGCAGAATGCTGATGAGAAACAAATTTGGTTTGTTTTGCCAATTAGAACTACACCTAATTAAAAGATGAAATGCACACTAATGAAGTATATCCAACCCTTTTGGAAATGGCAGAGTGCCAGGCCATGAGCAGGGTAGAAAAGCGTGGTTAGTGTTGTTCTTTGTATAATACAGTAAAATTTGTTGAATCCAGCCAGTCGATGCAAAGTGAGGCGAATAAATTTCACACATTTCGAGGTGCCTATAAATGTTGTCGAAGAACTCTTTTGGTTTTCATACCAACCTGTAGGAGTCATAAAATTATTAAAGATGTATAAAAAAGCCAATTAAAATGACACGTTTTCTTAAAATCTATGGCATATTGTTGTTTTGTACCTTTCTCAGCCGACAGCAAGATTTCTGCAGTCCATTTACGTATTTTGGTTTTTCTTCCGTTGCGACAAACGGTTATTTTTTTCCTGAAGATGGACAACTTGTGCCAGAAAGAGTAAGTTGACATGAACATTAGTTGTTTAAATACTGTTCTCCACCACATATCTTGTATACTCATTGATATTCAGTTCACATGTTTTCAGTGGTAAACTTTAGCTGCCTACTTTGCAAGATTAGCTTATTCCACACTTTTGTTCTCTTAAGTTTTTGTATTATTCTTTTTACATTCTTCTTTTATTATGCCAAAGTGAAGTGTTAAATGACATGATGCGTGTTTCTCATATTTTGCAGGGTAAAATTAAAAGTGAACAGAACCCCTGAAGAGATGCTCGGTTCCGTTGATGATTTTTGCTCTCAGCTGTTCTGCTGTGGCTTATTCAGCACCGGCTGACAGGCTCAGAGAAACTAATGCATTTAACTGGAGATGTGTAAAAATCTGAACTGTTGAGAAATTTGTAAACTTACCTAACATTGCATAGTTCTAACTTGGATAAAATTTGCATTCTAATTTTGTCTTTCATTTGGTCAATATTAGTATTATTCATGTGTTTCTAGATGTTTTTTAAGTATCTCCGGTTCACGTTTTGTTGTTGTACTGCAAAAAAAAAAAAAAAAAAAAAAATCAATTTACTGATATGAAGGCTATGTCATGCATTGTTCTATAATAATTTTTGTACAGTTTTATGACTGCATTCTGTGCATTTGTGTGACATTGTAAACTTTATTTAACAGCTAAGCAGTTTAAGATAAAATTCTGTAGCAAACGTTGATTCTAACTTTGGAAGTGATCGTTTGTTAAGTTTACCCTTTTATTTCAAGCTTGTTTAGAACTTTGTCGTTGAGCAAAAGCACAATCAAATGTGGAGATCAGGACCCGGATCAATCTCGACACTTCAGTGTTGTCAATCTGCACATGGAGGAGTAAAGCAGGTGGTTCTACTAAAGCTGAAATGTTTGATTTAATTGTGTTTATCTGTGGTTTCAGCAATTTTGAATATATTTACCACTCTTTTGCAGTTTTGATGTTCAGTAGGATACCATTTGAGTTATTTTAAAACTTTCTTCAATTTCCAAAAATCATTTTCCTAAACTATAAATTTGAATCGCAATGTTTTTGTTTAATCTACTTCATTAAATTTTATTTCATTTCAAACAATTGATGCTACATTTGTTTAATGCCAATGGTTTCATTCTTTGTTGTGACCTTTTGTAGTTATTTTATAAACTTGCTTTTGTAATTCACTTTGTTTTGGGGTGAGCTTTTGTAACAACTTTAAAGTTGCGGCTGGCAAGTTTTATAAAAATAATTATTTTTGACATATTGTTCAAAACTGTTACTGGTCTGACATAAATATGAGACAGATAATAATATGTGGAAAAAAACCCAGGCTCCTCCTCGTCACCCTACAGCCATTTACAGAAATACACAGATGGTCAGAAACAACCAATTAAAGCCGGGAGGAAGGTCTTAGCAATGTCAGTTTTGCATGTGTAGGTGTTGCTCACGCCCTTCTCCCGTTTAAAGCAATGACAGAGAAGCAATCTGTCATTGCTTCTCCTCCATTTCTCGAGTAGTGGGCAGGCTCCGCTTTGGAGGGAGGAGGGCTGTGGGCAGTAGAGATAGCAGAGGCCTGGAATGTTAACTTTTCAAGCTAAGTCTACGTTTTGTCTTGACATGTCTTTATTGCCAAACATCCTAGCTAGTTCACCCACACACATCTGAAAGCTTGCATCAGTGAGAGCAAGTCAGACTGTATTCATTTAAAATCAATTAAATGGAAAATTTTTTACCTTTTATATGTTGGAAGACATGCTTTTATTGGAGACAAGTTTGGTTATAAATAATTATAATAATCAATACAGAAAGATGCTACACATGTATGGAAAATACATTTATATTTCTTTAGCTTCTTGTATGAGCATTCTAAGAATAAGACTAAAATACGTTTTCGTTTATGGGTAAAGTTTAAAGTATTCAAATATTTTGAATATTTAAGATGACCATTTTTACAAATTTATGTAATCATAACTATTTACAAAGAAATGGGGAAAACCAGCAAACAATGAGACCCCTTCCGACCCCACCACTTTCACCTATACTGATGGTTGTTAAAGTTTTATTTTGTATGTCACTAAAACATTAATTCTGAATACTCTCAGCCCCATTGTAGCAACTTCCCTATAGACCATAGTATAGTGGGAGGCAACCAGCAGCTTGTTCCTTCGGCAGAACTGCAACGTCATCAGGCCCCACCGTGGAATCCTTTAATTGTGAAACGCCACCCTCAAGACAACAGGTATATGTGTGAATATTTTTTGAAGCTGCCACTGGAACTCTGTTGTACTTTTATTTCTTTAAAAATGTGAAATGCATTCTTATTCGTTTTAGTGATCGGGCTGGAGAGGAATTTCTGAGATGCCTTGCGGCCAACAAACCTCTACCTGACTATCTCAAAGGGAATATGACATACAATTTGTTTGATGCATTGAAGTCTGCGAAAGACCTGAAAGAAGCAGTCAAAGCAGATCCACAGTTCCAGAAGCATGTTGGCAGGAACAAGAGTCGAAGCAGAAGCAGAAGTCGGGGCAGAAGTCGAGGGAGGTCTCGGGCCAAAAGCCGACCAAGAAGCAAAAGCAGAGGAAGAAGCAGAAGTAAAGGAAGAAGCAAAAGCTGTGTGCGTGGAAAGAGTCGAGCTAGAAGCAAAAGTAGGGCTCGCAGTCGGAGCCGAAGTCAGAGCAAAAAGAGTCACAAACGAAGTAAGAGCAAAGTCAGGTCTAAGTCCCGTAGTGCCAGTATTGAAAAAAAGAGGAAGAGGAGCCCTGTGCATAGCAGCAACAGCAGCAGTAACAATTTGACAGGAAATAGTTTGTTAGAAGGACTGAAGATGGTCATGAAGAGCAAAGATTTGGAAGAACGGTTACCAGCACTCAAAGATGCAATCCTTGGTATTCAGGTAAGTCTTCAGCCATTAGGATTTCACTGAGTCATCTTGAAATATTGTCACCCAGACTTTTAAAAAATGAAAATAATGCAATTCATCTGCATTTCACTTTCATTCAGTTTGGTTAATATTCAATGAGTCAAACAGAGAATCCACATCGTGCAACCACACGTCAAACAGATGCATGTAACTTGCATTTAAATTATGAACACAGAAATTGATTTGTGCAATCAAATGTCTCAGAGTTTCATATTAATCTGGAAGCTGAATTCATACTCTGCAGCTGCACTGGAGACTGGAATTACAGCAGTGCAAGTTTTGAAATCGGGGAAACATTTCTCAAATTGAAGTGATCAGAAATTGGCAAAATTCTCTGATCTTGAGAGGATGGGCTCATTTTGCATCAGACTCAATCCAAAGACGTTATAGCTCTTCAGTGATCAGTCAGGTCCCGGATAGCGAGAGTTCAGAATTCAGGTCAGAGATGATACCCTGATGGGATTTTTTAAAATTATTATTACTATAATGGATGGGAACATTTGCTACAAATTTGCTCAGAAAATGTGTTTCCATTTCACTTCTTTCACATTTAGTCTTTTTTAGCAAAAGCCTCTTAAAGCGAGTGTGAAAACTTTTATGCAAAATTCAGGATGTTTCTTCAAATTTTACTGTTCCAATCAACTTTTTCCAACACAATACTTAAAACCTTTATGGAAACATGGCGAGTGTCAAGACGCTCAGTTCTCTCCACTGAAAAAGTGGCATTGTTCCGTTTCAAGCTTCGCTCATGAACAAATTAATTTGATCACATTCATGCAAAGCGCTACCAGCATCAATGGGTATGTATTACTGTCACTCAACTTCATATGTTTGTGAAGCCAGTGGAGCAAAATGAGTTTATATAATGCTCTTCATCTTAAATGCCATCTGGTCATAAAGTCTCACAGAACCCAACTTTACAAAATACAATCTTGATTTCAAGTGCAAAAATAGATGTATTGTAAAAAGAATGTAATGGTAAAGCCATAAAATATGAAATTTTATGTGTTTGAAGGGTATGTATTACACTCTAAATATGACAGAAATGAATCAAAATTTGACCATGGAGAATGCATTTATTACCAGACCAATTTAATATTTCTCGTTATTCGCTATAAGTAATTTTGTTTTCGTTCTGCACAGGTCTCTGATGAAACCAAAAAGCTAGAAAGTGCTGCTGCTAAGTACAGGATTGAGAAGCGGAACAGTCTGGACATGATGACATCGATGGAAAGCGACAGCATGTTGCTTCCTCATGAGAGAGTTGGCAGTGACTTTTCTTGGCTCAATGATAACGGTCAGGAGAACCTGTCCGGTCAGAAGGCCGGTGAGCTGGAAGATGAGTCTTTCTTGTACGGGACTGAACCACCTCAGAATGGAGGCCATGTCAAAGTGGACAAAAACAGTTTTCCTGGTGTTGGAGGTCACCAGAACACGTCCCTGTTCAGTGGGCTCAATAAATTGGTTGATCCAAAATCCCCCCAACAGATATCCGTATCGACTTTTTCCTCCGTCAGTCTTGATAGCATAGAATGTGAGAAAATCAAGAATATATTAAACAGCCTGGGTGGAAAATCAGATATTGGCAAAATGCTGATGAAGACTCAAGGCCAAAAGGAGGGCAGTGACATGCCTGGTACACTGTTCAGTTCTGACACAACAGCAGAGACGCTGAGTAACCCAAATGTTCGGAAAGCTCTGGAGTCTCTGCAGTCTCTGATTAAAGGTTAGCGCCTTCTCTCTCGTCTTTGTTTGTTACAACAGGGCCATTTTTTTCTCCAGTATGCAGCTGAACGTGTCGCCCAATGTCAAAGACGAGGTTATCTTTGTGAATTAAATCAGTGTTATTGCATGTAGAATAAAATGATTCTTCATGTGACCATTTCTACAACAGAGGGTCTTCACTCAGAGGCTTCCTCAGATCTGCTGGAACAAATCACTGCAGGAGGTCCTTCCTGCTCACAGCCACTGTTACCTATAGCTCCTCATTGATAAAACTTGGAGAATTTGATGTACATTTAATTTGCCTTTGGCCCTTCAAAATATTTTCCAATGGACCATAATATGTCACTTGCTGATAGTAACTCAAGAGCTTTTGTCATGTGGCTCCTCACTGTTTGTCTCTTGATTTGGAGTTGAATCTTGAGGAGATCCTGATTTTTGAGTTTGTTTCTTATCATACAGCTGCATATTTGACCCTGAAGCCTCTGAGCTCATCTTCCAGTTATTTATCTAGTTTTGCTGAACAAAGCAAAGAGTGGACATAAAAAAGTGAAATGCTCATAATGATAATTAAAATTGTCCCATGCGTTAGCTTCTTTGTTGTCGTCTTCAATACACTGAAATCTGTTTTGTCGGATTTCCTTAAGCAACAAAGGAGAAACGGACTAAAAGTACTGAGCAGTCCCTGACCTCATCTGATAAACACAAGGTAAGAGATTTTCAAGCAACCGTGATTATAAAATTAAACATCCGCATCTTTTCACACTTGTACTTGAAAACATACCTCATGTTTTACAGTCAGATGACCACAGTGACAAGAAAAGAGTCAAAATGAAGCAAATTGAATTATTGGCGGCAGAAATGGGGAGTGCTTAGACATGAAGGTAACAAGTTTTCCCTGTAGGCTTTCTTCCTTTTGTAAAACCTGTCTCCACCACACTTTGCAGCATTTATTTTCTGTTTCCAGGGCTGGGTTTTATTTCTCCAGTAGTTGGGTTCTACTGCCAGAAATGTCAGGAATTCATTGGAGATTTGAATTCTGCTGAAAACCATGCAACTTTCCACCAAAGTGTGAGTATCTGTGCTGAATGTTGTGCCCGATTTATTAGGTAGTAAATGACTTTTATCCATCCAGTCTACTTGTCAGTCACCTGTCTGCTGTATAAATGTCTGAAATCATAGAAAAATATTGAACCTGTATGTAAACAATTGCTATAAAAGGACAAAAATGTGGACAGTTTGGCCTGCCTAGGGAATGTCAGTACAGTTCATCTGGAAAGTGTTTACTGCGCTTCACATTTTATGTGAAGCGCATAAAATGTGCTTAACATAATTCTATTCCAAATTCTATTAACTCTTTCCTAAAGATTCAACACACAAATATCCCATTATCACAATATTGATTAAAAAAATATTTACAAATAAATAGAAAACCAAGTAATCACAGTTTATGCTTAATACTTTGTTGACCCACTTTTCAGCCTCCAGTGTTTCCAACATGATGCTACCAGCTTAACAGAACCTGTATTTAGACAGTATGGTCCATTCTCCTCTCTGCAGTTCTCCAGCTCTGTCAGCCATTTTCAGATCTCTCCAGAGATCTTGATCTTTCTGCCACAGTGCTGTGGGGCACCTGCTGGCTGCGTTTTACAAACAATATTTAGTTGCTACAGTAAAGAGTCGTCCTATTGGAAGGTGCTTTACGCTTTTAATGTGTTCCGAATGTCAACAAGTTGGTATCTTGACACTCCTGTTTTATCAAATTCGGGCTGACTTTTTTATTTATTTATTTGTTTTTATACTTTATAGCGGTTGGACAAGCATGCTAGAGACAGCAAAGGTCACAGCAGCAGCAGCACCAGCAGCCAGCCCTCCCATTCAGCCTCCTGGAGTGACAGAGAGCTGCAGCGGAACTGGAAGGATGAGAAGGAGCTCCGGAGCAGCCAACGAGACAGCAGGTCTGAGCAGGCAAACATCTGCTTTCAGGAAGAGATGAAGAAGGAGAGGATGCTCATAACCGTCAACAGAGGGCTAACGCCTTCACCTCAAAGTGTCACCTTGAAACAAGAGAACAAGGAGCACGGGAAAGGCAAAGAGAAACCAGTCGGCAGCGAGAAATCGTCCAAAACCAGCAGAGAGAAGCACAAGACGGAAACTTCTGAGAGCTGTGACAGCAGTGAAGAGAGAAATCACCTAAAGTCAGACAACCTAAAAAGAAAAAGAAGAAGGAGAAAAAGAAGAAGAAGAAGAAGAGTAAGGATTAGTGTTTGTAGAGTATGGCTTTCTGGAAATGCTGACGCATCGCTGCAGCTCAACGTTAAAACTTTCAGGTCTTAAATTTCATTAAGAAGCCACTTTCTGTATTGTTGTTCTTTGGTTCTGACCTGCGAAGAAAGTTCACCCTAAAAATCCAACACTGACTTTGCTGCATTGGTAAGTTCTCCTGCACAGAGAAAAAACATAGAAGTGTCTGTGTGTGTCACAGAGAGGGATGGTGGTAGGAGTCACAACCGGATTGGAGTTTTGAGGCAAATGCATTTAATCCCTTTCTTTTCAGACGTTCATCTTTTTATCTTTATTCCTCAGTCTGTAGTTTTAACATGGAACCTGGGGTTGGCTGATGGTGGGAATGTCTCCAATACTGTCCTTGCGTTCTGAGTCCACCTTGTAAACACATCGATCTTTACTGGTTCCATTTATTTACATCACAAATGGCTAATTGTCGTCACATTTATTAGGAGTATTTTTCAGTTCTTGTTTATTTTCCTATTTTTCATCAGAACTCCCAACCTGACACGTGTCTGTCTTGTGATATTGTAAATAAAAAACCCAAACCTTTGTAATAAAATGTGTGAAAAGTCAGATGTAATTGTTGAAGTGGTTTTTCATAATAATGGAAAAAGACCATATTTCTATCCTGTCTGAAACCTGGATCGTCGTGACGTGTCGGTGTAACAGGCACAGTTGCAGATTTGTAATCTTTGGTATTAGGGCCTGGTTCTGCGAATCAACCTGCACCGCTGGCCCAGAAGAGCGCAAAACACTCACTGAATCTGAAAAGTGATGATTCAATCTTGTCACATTTGTATGATGGACATAAACATTCCTCACTGTAACTCCCACTGTCGCATATGGAGAATGTCAAGTGTTTTGATATGAACCAGACAAGATCAGTCATTTGAAAACCTAACTCTAAATAGAGCGTAAAGCATGAGTACGTCACCAAGGGTGATCAATACTTTTGTTGTCTTCCCACAATAATTAAAGTTTTTTTGAGAATCTGCTTGGGGCATAAATGTGAAATACATAGAGCAGTTACCTACATTTATACACCTTTACACTGATCATTTATTGAAACAAAACCCATTTTCTCCCCAATTGTCATGACGGCATGTGCAGCCTGAGGAATTGTTTTATTTACTGAATTTGGCTATGAATATAAAGATTGTTGAAACCAAATTGGACTGCGCAGCGCCACAGTTGGTTGTCCAACTGCGTTGCAGGAAGAAAGTCCTGCATTTGAATCCCGGCCCCGGAGTTCGTATGTTCTTGTGCATGTGAGGCTTCATCCTACAGTCCAAAACACAAAACATGACAGTTACGTGAATTGGTGTCTCTTGGTAGGTATTTTACAGAGAAGGACGTGTGTGTGTGTGTGTTGTGTGTGTGTGTGTGTGTGTGTGTGTGTGTGTGTGTGTGTGTGTGTGTGTGTGTGTGTGTGTGGTGTGTGTGTGTGTGTGTGTGTGTGTGTGCGTGCATGCATGGCTGTTTGTCACCTTAAGAATTGAACCAGAGATGACCATGTTGAGGACTGTGGCCCCTGAGCCACATAGTGCCCATTTAGTTATATATGAACCCCTAACCCTTCACTTTGTTCTGCGCTCATATGTTGTATTTTTGTTAATCTGCAAATGTATTTTTTTCAAGATACTACATGATCATTTTGAGATGAAAATGACAGTTTACTAATATTTTCTACATTTGTAGGTAGAAGTCAGATACAGTTTTCGACACGGTGAGCTGGAGAAAGTTTTCTCTGAAAAGGTGAGTGTTCCTGCAGTGACTTGATGTTTTGCTCTCATCATGAAGCAAAGACTTATGGAAGATAAAGCAGAAATAAGATGTTTTTTTTTTCTACTTTCAATATATTATTTTCTGACCGTTTCTTCATCCAAAAGGACAAACACAGCGAAACATTTGCAGCACAAATGTATTTTGTCTTTCATGATTTCTGAGCTGATGAGTTTTTTTGGGAGAGTTGGTGTTCAAGACTGAATCCCATTCAGTAACACAAACATCTCCCATAACACAAGCAGGAGAAACTCAAACATTTGCATCAAGAACACATTTAACACCCAACGTGGGTGAAGGATGGACATTCTTTGTTCCAGAACTTCACTGGTTCCTCTGGTTTACTGACTCCCTTCGGAGAGGAGAGGCCATTTTTTAATGCCTTCTGTAACCTGAATGTTCTCATGAAGAAGCTGAGTGAAGAAAAAGGGAAGAAAAATTTAACATTGTTTGAAAACTTTCAAAATAAACTATGTAAAACAATTAAAAGTTTTGTCTTTTGGTTTGTCCTGTTGCTTTAAACATTAGAATGTATTATTTAAATGGACGTTACAGTTTGTGCAAAAACTGGAAAGGTTTTATGAACTAGCACTAAACTCACATTAGTAGGAAACAAGGATTTATCATACAGATGTTTTCAGTTTTTTTTTTTTTAATGTAGTATCATAGCCAATTCTAAACTAGTTACATCCTGTCAACTTCATTCCAGTCACATCAGTCACTGAGATGTTGTGACTGGAATAAGCACAGGGTGACAGTGGAGACAAAAGCTGCCTTCAACAGGAAGATCTTCCAGTGGAACCAGGCTCTGAATCGAATCAAACATATTTATACAGCACATTTAAGAAAAGGGCTGAATAGCAGTGCAGTTAGTAGCACTGTTACCTGGCGTTTGCGAGAAAGTCATGGGTTCAAGTCCTGGCCTGGGGTCTTACTTCACACAATATACATGTTCTCTCTGTGAATGTGGGTTCTCTCCAGGTACTCTATAAATGATCCTTATGAGTGTGTCCCTGAGTGGTTGCTTGTCCTACGATATCCGGGTAGACTGCTCAGGATGAACCTCGTCTCTCTCGCTGTTGACCGCCGGACACAGACAAAAGCACCTCTGTGACCCTGCAGGGGTCTTAACGGATGGCTCTAAGGCAACGTTCACCAGCCAAACTGTGATACACAAAAGAACAAACTGCAACAATTCAAACGAAAAGCAGCAATTACGATGAAATGAACCATATGTCTCAATTGGCTGAAATCTGAGAGGACAGGAAGAAAGATCCAGATGAACGCTGATGGTGCCAACAAGGAATACCCACCAGGAGGAAGCAAAAGCACAAAAGCAGTGACAGCAGTAAACATTAATATCAGTCAACCTTAAATGTTAAAAGTGCATTATGTCTGTCAGCTGGTGAGACAGACAGCAAGAGGACAAGCTTGGACAAAGAGCTTCATGAAACAGAAAAGTTCAAGATTATCCTTTAAAAACGACTGCATTACTGACCAAAAGTGATGTATTTGAGAAAAGACCTGCCTGACCGACCACTAAAGTAGAATTTATCTTGTGTTTGTATTTTGAGCTTAAAGAGCCTGATTGATAAATCATTGGCATGAGAATATTGATCTGCTGACTATCATTCAGTGAATGTCAGCTCCATCCTCACACATAGCTGATGTATCAGTAAATGTCATCATGAACATTGTCCTAATGTTTGGATTTGGATTAATCAAATCATGTTAGCTTAGCAACAGCAGCACAATTATTAATTTTCTGTTTATGTTAGAAACAACTAGACATGTTTTAATTTTCATACCATGATGTTGTGTTTCACGTTTCCATTTCTCTGTTCGGTATGTAATAAACATGTTTCCATCGAAGGCTTTCCACTAGATGGAGACACATTTTCATGCACAGCGACTGAACCGATGTACTGGATGTTTATAGAGAACAAATAGAAAGCATTTTTGTTTTATCTGGAATTTCTCTTTGGGATCAATACAGTATTTTTGAATTTGAATTTTGAATCGAATATAAACTTTACAAACTTCAACACATATTGCATCAATCAGAATGTTGTTTTTTCTCCTGTGAACCACTTGAATTATTATTTACACACACTTGTTGGTGCCTCTCTACAAAGGAGTAGAAAAGACCTTTGTAATAATTTGAAATCGACAAATGCAATAATAATAATAATGATAATAATAATAATAATAATGAAAGTCTACTGACAGTTAACCAATACAAATTAGACTGTAGATTTTAAAATGTGGTTCAACATAAATGTCACGTTTCATTTACTAGAAAAAATTGGAATGTGATCAGAAAGCAATAAATTTACACTGTAAAACATTTGGGCCGAAATCTATAAAATGTGAGCTGTTATCAACACTCGCTTACATAAAGAAAGGTGAGTCCAAGCTTATGTAGGGATTCATGCACAATTTTTATTGGCTAAAAATGTGATTATTTTTTTGCTTTCATATTAGATCGTCGTTTTTGAGTCATACTTTGGTGTAAGTGTTGCAGTTTCACGCTTAGATGTAAATATAAAAAAGGTGACAAACTGGTTTTAAGAGCTGGTGGCTAGCTCTGTGATCTGCTTCAAAGAGCTGGAAATCTTTTTATTAATTTATAATCAATGGTCCAGGGGACAGAAGACGGTCAGTTGGGTCTTTAACAGGTGACAGTAGCAGGAACCAGGACAGAGGAGAAGGTGCAGAAAGCCAAAAAGCGTTTTCTCTTCTGCCACCAGTCTTGTCCTATTTGTTTCATTCATTTACCCAAAACTTCCAACATTTCTATTTCTTTCCATAACTTCTAAATCTTTCTCCCTTCTTAATTTATGTTTCTGTTCCTTTTAGTATTTGATCAAACTCATTTAGCGCTGAAAGGAACTGAAAGATCTCTTTCAAGAAAACTACTCCATTTGATATCATCTGGATTTTCATTTTTCTTAATTAATTCCAGATCAGAAGCTTCTTTGTTCTGGGCATTTCACTGGAGGACCAAATTCATACCTAAAAGATAAGATCATGGTTATTGTTATAGTGAGAAAGATTTACTTATTGATCTGTGATTCAAAAATATTGGCCGAATGATTTGTTTGAAATCTGAAGAAGTCTTGGGAATCGCAGAGCAACTTGGACATGGATTTCTCAGGGTGGACAACAAACAACAACCCTGACCAACAAACGATCACAAACACTAATATGTAGCAAATCTGCCTTTATTGTTAAAAGGTGTAGGAGCTTTAAAGTTGTCCTCTCACTGAGCCTGTTCTTCTGATTAGGATTGACAACCGAAGATAACCTGAATGTTTTCAACAGCAAGATCGAACAAGTCAGTGTTCTGCAATACGCCCCACAGCCAACGGTATCCGTCAGATAAACAGATGGCTGATGAGGAAAATGTGTGGAAACTTTTTTTTTGATCCTGCAACTCGTTTGAACTTGTTGGACAGAGAAAGGAGGTGAATTTTCTCCTGTATTTTATGTCATCCACAAAATGAAAGTGCGATTGGTCAAGACGCTCTCACACAGACCTCTGCAGTGTCAAGGGAGACGTCCTTCATCCTGGGAGACTGTTAATTACCCAACCCAAAACCAAATGACTTCTTTAGCATTAAAGAACTTTAGCATTTCCTTAGCAAGACCATCTATGTTGGGCTCCACAGAATCCTTGGTACATAAGAGTCAAGGATTCACACTTATAGTCTCTGACCAGAACATACAACAGGAAGCTAGAATCCACTGTTGACCGTATTTCTGTTCTCACCTTGCAAGGTCTCAATAAATTTCTTATTGCTTCTCATACAGACTCTTGTTAAAGTTATTTTTTCCACAACAATTTGGCCGTCGCTGACAGAATTCCACGTTTGGCCGCCGGGAACTGGACGACCAGTGTGTGAGCTTGTGTGATGTGGAGATGATGTGATGGGCTCCACACATAGGCATGTCCGCTTCATCACATTAAGATGCCTCAATGCATTTACATCTAAACGCACCGTCTGTTTGGCTGGGACTCTACTTGACTCTTTTCAAGCAGTTTGCCTAATGAAGTGGTTGGTGAATGAATTTATTTGGTTGAGCATGATGAGCATTTTGGAGCTCATCCCGAAATCAAACGCCTGAAGGTCTAACAGACATGTTCTTTGGATGCATAACCTGACAGCACAAACTGAACTGACAGTGAGTGAACATCAATCATGTTTGGAGCTGTTATATAAGACAATCTGCAAAAACAGCAGAAGCTCTTCCACCAGTAATATGTCCCTACTGGCCTGAGTGATGCTTTCCGTCAAGAGAAAACATTGGAAGATGATATAAGAAGTAAAACATATACAATGAAAATATAAAAGTGTGTAATAATGATCAAATCATGAGGGGTGCATGCATGTTTGAGCTTGTATAAAGAAATGACTTTGCAAAGATAAGAGAAAATGTATCAATTGTCAAAACATGCTTAACCTTGCAGGGTTGTGGGAGCTGGTCCAAGTCTCTGCTCTTTACTGGAAAAGAACCTGGCAACACCCACGACAGATCCCCAGTGTGTGTGCGTTTGATTGTATATATTATTGCAAATCGGACCACTTACACTCTATTCTTTTCAAAAATGTCATTTGTGAAAAGCGGGGACATATTTCTGATCCTCATCATTTGCAGTTGCACTGAGCTCCATCGCCTAGATTTAGAAGTATGGATTAAATTTTGGTTAAGGTTTAAGTGAAGGAATACTCTAGTAATGGTAAGTGTCAAGCTTTTCATGGAGGTCCATGAAAAGCTCTTGGACTTTTCATGGACCAAGAACTTTTGGTCCATGAAAACTCTGGATCTGTGTGTGTGTGTGTGTGTGTGTGTGTGTGTGTATTCAGTGGATTCTAGCTTCCTGTTGTATGTTCTGGTCAGAGACTATAAGTGTGAATCCTTGACTCTTATGTACCAAGGATTCTGTGGAGCCCAACATAGATGGTCTTTCTAAGGAAATGCTAAAGTTCTTTACACACACACACACACACACACACACACACACACACACACACACACACACACACACACACACACACACACACACACACACACACACACACACACACACACAAATTTCACAAATGACATTTTTGAAAAAAATAGAGTAAAAGTGGTCCTATTTGCAATAATATATACAATCAAACGCACACACACTGGGGATCTGTCGTGGGTGTTGCCAGGTTCTTTTCCAGTAAAGAGCAGAGACTTGGACCAGCTCCCACAACCCTGCAAGGTTAAGCATGTTTTGACAATTGATACATTTTCTCTTATCTTTGCAAAGTCATTTCTTTATACAAGCTCAAACATACACACACACACACACACACACACACACACACACACACACACACACACACACACACCCCACACACACACACACACACACACACACACACACACACACACCCCCACACACACACACACCCACGCACACACGTGTATGTGGAATGTACCTCTGTATGCTTGTCCATGCTGAAAGGCCTCAGTCCTTGCATCCATATACTTCTGTATATAGAATATTTATGCCTATGGTGGCTTGATTACAGCATTGCTACAGAATAATTGATTTCTATTTAACTCACATCCAAACATTTCAGCCACAAAAATGTACTTACAGTAAGAACGCAAAGCAAATGGAAAACTGGTGGTTTGTTTCATCCTTAAGCTTTTTTTTCATTGCATATTTTGCAGTTTTGGAGTTTTGACGTGGAAGAATGTGATCCACCAGTCCACGTAAACTCCAGCCTTCATTAATGTAATGGTGTTTTTGTTGTTATCCTAACATTTGTCCTGATTGAAATAAAACCACAGAGAAAAACACATTCCGTGACATGTCAGTCATGACGAGACTCGTTCAACATCAAAAACACTCGGAAGAATTATTTCAGATCAGCTCTGCTTTGGTTTGAGATGGTTTAACTTGTGCAATCTCTTTGGAAACAGCTTGAAGTTGTTGATCATTTAGGCCTTGCTGACACAGAGCTGTAACATTTTGGCTGTGATCCAGCTGCTTGTCTCTTTTTCCATGTCTCCAGATTGGGGTCTGTGACTCGGCACTCTGTACAAACCAGGTCACATAGTGAAAGTCTTCAGGAGCATTCCTCAAGAACACACACCTTCAGCTGTGAAGGTGTGTGTTCACAGAGCGCAGAGCTGTGCAGTTTATTCTGTTCTACTTAACATGTTCAGTTTAACAACTTCTGATATGAAATATACACTCACTGGCCACCTTATTAGGTACACCTTGTGAGTACCGGGTTGGACCCCCTTTTGCTTACAGAACTGCCTTAATTCTTCATGGGAGAAATTCAACAATGTACTGGAATCTTATTGACATGTTTCCATATTGACATGACAGCATCACTGCAGCTGTTGCTGCAGATTTGTCGGCTGCACATCAATGATGCGGACCTCCCGTTCCGCCACATCCCAAGGTTCTCTATTGGACTGAAAGTTCAGGGAACTTATTGCCATGTTCAAGAAACCAGCCTGAGATGATTTGCAATTTATTTAACGGCAAGTAAAGAAGCTCTGAGTTTCTGTCTCCGCCTGTCTTCAGTCTGTGTGACCAAATCAGGAACCTGGATCCTGCACACATGCATGCTGATGTCACACACTTAATATTCCTGCAGCAGCTTCCCCAGATTATTTTCACTCAGAGATAAGAAGGAAGGCACCAACAGAGGAGAGATGGGAACTGTTTGGTTCACAGTTTGGTGTGCTTTATTCTTTAATGTTCAGGTGAGATTTTCTTCTGCAACCTGCTTTTGTGTTTTCTATTACAAACATGATCTGGATCATCCAGGATCTGTTTCCTCAAACGTAATACCTAAAACTGTAAATTGTGTGTGGGGTTTTTTTTTTTGCTTCTGGCTCACAAATATTTCTGGAAAAACATAACTCATAAGTAAATGAAGTTAGCTCATGTGTTCCTCTCACTTAGTTTTGAGTCCATTCAGACGTGTTTGTCTAAACCAGCAGCCTGCTGTCTCCATTCTTTTGGATCTTGGATCACTAATGTTAGCAGAAATAGTAATCTTTTCAAATATAGTTAAAAAAATATTAAAAATTGCAGTTTTAGTTTTTCAGTTTGGAATAATTTCATTAAATATACATACAATAACTTTGTGCTTAAATAAATTTTTTTGTCATCAGGCAGAAACTGGACATTTTAAAACATGTTTCTCCACACATATCAAAATCCCATCGCAAAATATACATCCATCTTCTTTTGGCAAAAGATTTTTTTTCTTTCATTTAAACCCACAGAAAATTAATAGTTTTTTTAAAATTAAAATACATGTCCTATAGAAGATATTTACCAATATTTTAACATGGTTTTTCAAAACATCAGGTGACATTTGCTCTTCTGAACAAATTGTAGTTGTCTGGTCTATTAGTACAGGCTTTTTGGGAAAAAAATAAAAAAAAAAAAGCACAGAGTGCAAAGTCTTGGCAGACTAAACATGAACTATGTTTAGGCTGCCAGTGGACATGTTCCTGCGAGATTAACAGATTGTCTCCCATTTGCTAGAGATGCATTTTTTTCTTTCCCAGGCTTCACCAGCAGGGCACACAGAAGACCAAATATGTGAACCAGGATTTGACTCAGAATCAGTCATTTTTAAGGTGACTAAGAAGCATCTGAGGCCGACCACCGTCCTGGGAAAAGGTGAGATCAGCTGTGTTCTCTCACTGTGGGTCGGCTTTGATTCGCAGAGAATAGCAGTTTCGTTCTGATTGGAAAGATTTGAAATTCATTTGAGATCCTGCATTCTTTGTTCATGCCTCCTTTTGGACAGATACTGTTGTTATTTGATGCATTTTTTTTTTGATGGGATACTTTGGGGATGCCAATGTGTTTCTTAATTTTCTAATTCTTTCTGTTTTCTTTGCAGTTTCTAAACTGTTTTGTTTGTGTTATTGTTTAGTTTTGTTTTGTAAGATGTTATGTGTCCTACTGATTTCCCTCTGCATATTTTGATACTGCCAGTTCCTTCCTAAATGTTCCACAGACAGTCCTAAGGATTTTGGGACAAACCTGTTTTCTAACCTACATCAAAATTTGACTCAGCCTGGCTTCATTGTTCATTAATGGATTCTTTTGTTTCTGTTATCCAAGTTCCATGTTATTGTGTTTTTTGTCCTTTTCTGGTCAAATTAAGTTTATTTATACAGCACACTTCAGCAATAAGGCAGTTCAAGGTGCTTTATATGACAAAAAAACCCCTAACACATCTCACAGAGCAAGGGGCTCACAGATGGGTCCCAGTTTGGACTTTCTGTGTTTTCAAATCTGACTCTAACCACTGACACAGTGTATGACAGCGAAGGTCACAAAAACATGGCTGTCTCTAATGCACAATGTTTCGAGTGGTTGAAATGAGATGACAAGCAAATGGTTTCAGTCCATTTTGCTCACTCAGCTTCTATGGAAGCCCATGAAGCCCATTTTATCCTGAAACTCCAAGCCTTTGAAGTGAAGAGCAAATATTTTCCTTCCTCCTCAGTGAACTTCACCGACTGCACAGACGTCAAGGGGTCGATTTTCGTCGCCTCCGATTCCCATTTCAATCTTGAGACTGATGGGACAGTAACGGTAATCAGAGTTTCAACAGTCAGGAGTCTTAATAATTATTTGTTAAAACAAATGACAAATTATAAAAACTAATTTATGGCAATGATTTTTTTGCTCTTCAGGTTTCGAGATGGTTGTTTCTTCAGGAGGGACGACGAGGTTTCTTCATCCACTCCTGGGATTCAAAAGGGAGGAAGCAGACCATCTCTGCTGTGGTTCAGCACCAAGGGGATCTGGACGCAGCCCCGGCCTCCAGAGTGATTTTCCCCTCAGTGACGTCACAAATAAGTTAGAGGCAAGTTTAAAGGAACTAAGCTGTCAGTTACGTTCCTACAGCCACCTGCTTCCTCTCCAGCCCTCTGGGGGCGCAGCAGGTATATAAAACTAAATGACTCACAGTCTCAGTCATTGAGCTGTTAAAAATAGCTTGACACTTTCTTTTCACTGTCAGATCTCTTGTGTTGTGTGTGTTGCTGTTTATTGGCCAGGACTCCCTGGAAAAAGAGGTTTTCACACTCAATGCATTTTTATCCTGGTAAAATGAAGATTAAATAAAAACTGCTAAAAATTGAACATGCACTAGCACCTATTGATATAAAATATATTATTATTATTATTATTATTATTATTATTATTATTATTAATAATAATATTATACTCCTTTTTCATTCTATTATTCTTTACCAAATTGTTAAAAAGCAAAATTGTGTTTTGTAATTGTAAATGATTTCATTGTAACGTCGGTGTGACGGTCAGACTGCAGAGACCAGATACTGGTTGAGGAGAAGAAATGTGTTAACAGTATTGCACTGAGCTGGTATCGGATGCTCACTACCAGCTCAGTGCAATAAGTCTGAAAAATCTGACTGGGATTTCTTTTTCCACTCAGATTGCTGGGTGTGATAGGAAGCAGATGAACTAATTAGACCAGATTAGAACAGCTGTGGCAAGAGGCACGCAGGCAAACAGACGAACCACCACAAGGGGGAGCTGAACTCAGTGGAACCACAAACTACAAAGGGGGAAAGAGAACAGCCATCGCAGAGAAATAAATCCAATTGCACGAAAATAAAACACAACATGAGGACAGACTAAGAAACTAAACACAAAAAAATTAAACTAATATGACAAGTTCTGTTAATAGTAAACACAGAGAAATGAACTCAAGACGTTAATATAATATAAACGAAAAACAAGGAGCAACAGGAAAATAATAAACACACAGTGTAAATGAAAGGCAAATCCCGAAACATACAAGGGTTGGAACAATACTGTACAGTTTAGTCTGCAACAGATACAATATCTGTGTGATTCACTTACAGGTTCCAGTCCTGCATTTCCCATCATCCACTGAAGGACTGAGGAGGAAAAAGAGATTTTCCATTCCTCCTCTTAATATTGCAGAGAATTCCAGAGGACCTTTCCATTCATATATTGCCCAGGTGAGAGGAAGTAAATGTTCATGGCCGTCTTATTAGGTTCTCCTTGTAAGAGAGGAATAACACCAGAGGCATGGAGGCAGGAAGTATGAGAATAAAAGAAAAGGAAGCAGATGGAACAGTAAGCCTGTGAGGAGAAGATGAATGAATTTGAGTTCCTGCCTGAGGTCAGTTATCCAAAGCAGAAGGATAACTGACCTCAGGCTGAAGAGAGGAGAAGACAGGACAGGAAGGGAAGAAAAGGGCAGAGGGACAGTGTTGGTGCGATTTGTGTAAGAGCAAAACAGTGTGTGTACAAAATGGAGATGAAAACTGGAACATAATTTGGAGATGGTGGCATTAACAAAAAGAAACGTGGAGCTAAAGGTGGAAGAGCTCAGTATGAGATTTTTATTTCTAGAGAAATAAATGGAGAGGACGAGAAATCTCCTTCAGCTCAGGCTAGAGACGAGGTAGGCTGTAATGGTTTGGACGCATATGGAGGCTGTCCTTAAATATTGTAAATATATTCCGCCTGTGGTTTTAACATTCTGGCTTTGCTTTGTGCAGTTTCGCTCTCTTGACGATAAAGGGAAGAAGATCATTTACAGCATCACTGGTCCGGGAGCTGATCAGCCTCCTGTTGGTCTCTTTACCATCGACAGAGACACTGGTCATCTGTATGTAACACAGGCAGTGGACAGAGAGAAAAAAGACAGATATTTGGTAAGCATGTTATATGAAGAAAGGTCTTTTTGCTGCACTTTCACAGACTTTAATGTTGAATATATATATATATATATATATATATATATATATATATATATATATATATATATATATATATATATATATATGTGTGTGTGTGTGTGTATATGAAATGTAAGTTCATGTTGTACTTTTGTACTGAATCTTAGGATGCAATATTGGGATGTAGGACTTGACCCTTTTTTCCTCTTTTTCAAACGATGGAAGAATTTGTGTTTTTATTCAAATGAACCATCTTATTAATATTGGCGTGTTTACAGTTACAGGTATATTCTGCTGCGGCGGACGGTTCAGCCTCTGCTGAGGAGCCTATGGACATTATTATAAGAGTAATTGACCAGAATGACAACAAACCTATTTTCAACCTCTTGGGAAATGTGGCCGAGTCTTCATCAATAGGTATTGCTTTTGTATGTAACTTCAGTCCCATTAAACATGATGCAAATAAACCAACATTCACATCAAATGGATCACTTCCTATTAAGGGTGAAATAGAAATTAAATGTGCTTTTTATTTACTTTGTCTAGAGTAAAAAGGGTTCATGTGGGCCCTTTGATGACAGGACTCCGAATCTGAAGACATCAAATGGGAAATAAGAAATAGTCTCTCAGAATGTTCTTATTTTGTGCTTCAAATTTGACCAATAGATGAATTATTTTCCCAAACAGACTAAAGGCCCATTTTGGTCGCAAATCAATAAACAAAAGTTGCCAGTTTTACTATTTGCCCAACCAGCAGTTAGATCTTTAAATAGTTCATGTCTCCTTGTTCATAAAATATTCAGACTAGACAGACTCAGGATTTATCTGCTCTGTAGTGATTACATGTCATTTGACTGACTGTCTAATCCAGTGCTTCTCAATTATTTTCCGTTACGCCCCCCTTAGCAAGAAGAAAAACTATTCGCGCCCCCCATTCCCCACCGTGACTATCCATCTCAGCATAACATTTTTTCCTTATTAACATTTTTTTCGCTGAAAAAACTCTAGCGGCTTATCGGCGTGATTGGGATGTAACGTATTTAAGTGACGCGCTAATTTATTTGGCTTCATGCTGTCCGCTGCGAGCATTTTTAGACACAGCAAACACACCGGTCTTTCCTCTTCTCCAACTGTAGTCACAGTGAAGCCAAGCGCTAAATACGCTTCGTCGTATTTCCTCTTCTTAGCTTTCGGTTGACTTTCTGTTGTCTCATTATCTTTGTCTCTCTCCGCTTTTTTTCATCCCTGTTAAAAACTTTTTCATGTTGGGGGTTGTTGAATAACGGAGGCCATAGACAGAACGCAGTCGGAGCTTTTTGTTGACTTAACACTGCTAACCAAGGCAAACCTGTTGTCTTGTAAGTCGTAAAATGTTGCACTGTCGCAAACGTGACAGAAGTAACAATGAGAGCGCCACTGCCGCCTACTGTGCGCAATTACACTTTATACTAGTTCGGCCAAAAAAAAAGCCTGTTCCCCAGGATCACACGCCCCCCCCAGGTATCGCACCGCGCCCCCCGAAGGGGGCCCGCCCCACTATTTGAGAAGCACTGGTCTAATCTGAGAAAAAGCTCGGCTCCTCCAGATTGAGCTGGAGAGAGACGCTGGGTAAAGAAACATTAGAAGTTACCTCTCCAACCCTGATTAAATGAATGAGAGGTTTGTGACCTCATTAAATGGAGGGAGTCGTTCTTTCAGGCCTACTAGAAGTTAAAAATTGCAGCCAGCTTCCCAGGAATGCATTTCATTTCCTTCTATGTGATGCTTATCTTCAGGCTCTGAGGTGGTGAAGGTTATGGCAACAGATGCTGATGAGCCACACAGTCCCAACTCAGACATCCGTTATCGCATTGTGAGCCAGGAACCTCAGCAACCAAATCCATCCATGTTTGTCATACACCCAAAGACTGGAGCCATCACAGTCAGTGCTGCTGGCCTGGACAGACAGGTGAACTTTTAAACATGTTGATATTATCATAATTCTGAAATAAGTTGTGTAGCTTAGTAGGAGAGATAAATAACTGCTAATGTATTGAACAAACACAAACTGATTTTGCCTTTTGTAATGGACCAATTTATTGTGACAAATTGGTTTCTACAGATAATATTGATATATATGACAGCATGACATTATTATTATTGAGCTCCTACATGTAATCGCTGAGAGCTTTCTAATTCAAATTTGACAAAATTGAGTTTGGTTTAAACTTATCAAACGATGCCGTAAATCTTTAGGATTTCTTTTAAAGGAGCTCTTTCCTGTAATTTCATTTGAAATAAATTAAAATATGAGCCTGAATATCCCGACAGAAATACCCCGAGTATACCCTGGAGGTGGAAGCAGCAGACATGAACGGGGAGGGACTTTCTGCATTAATGAAAGTAATGATCTCTGTAACTCCTGACACGGAGCTCCCTGTAAGTACAACCTGCAAACCTTCTACAAAATGCATACAGGACAAAACATATCAGTCAATGTCTTATTGTTGGCGTTACGAGTGGAGAGATAAAGTTGCAGCAAGCTGTAAAAAGAAAAACAGAAAAGCGGAATCTGCTTAAATAACCTAAATGTGATAAAGCAGTAATTAGCATCACTTTGTATTTTATTAGGCTGCCCAAGGAGGAGGGAGGAGCAGGAGGAATGCAGATCCAAAGATTCATCATTCTCCTTCAGAGAAAATGTTACCAAATCTGTTACCTCTGTCTGTAAGTTCAACTAGAAGAACTAAATTGAACTTGTTTTTCTGTGGCTCATCAAAACTTTGTCGTTGCACAAGGTTTTTTACTGACCAGCTGTCTCGTTTTCATGTAGCTGTGTTCAACTTTCTGAATTTTCACAACTTGCAACAATGTAATTTTCTTAGCATAATAACAGTCCCATACAAGTGGCTTGTGGCACTCAGGTCTATGTGGTGCTTTTATGATTGTACCATCAACTTGTGTGTTTTCTCCTGAGCGTCCCATCAATACAGTATTTGAAAGTCAAGATTGAAAGGAAACAGATTGACAGGAGGTGGTTTTAGGTTTCAAAAGAACGTTTGACCAAAAAAGACACTCCAGCCATGCAAACAGTATTTGCATCGTTGGAGAAGAAATGGAGGTGGTTGAGTAGTAGAAATAAAACTCTGTGTTTACCTTTTCCATCTTTACAACACACTGACATGGAGAGACAACAGTGTGGGAACAGAGGAGACCGGACTAAAGATGTGGCAGCTCTTTAAGTCTGTTTTCTTTCTATGCCGTTCTGTTTTTCTCAAAGTCTGAAGAAGGAAAAAGGAGACGGAAGAGAAGCTGGATTATTCCTCCCATCAGTGTTCCTGAGAATAGCAGAGGCCCGTTTCCTCTGTACTTTGCCCAGGTGAGAGGCAGATGTACCGTAAATGTTTCTGAACTAAAAGAGCTTTGCCAAGAACCACACAGTGCTTTAACGGCTCTGATGGTGCTTTGCAGGTCTACTCTGACAAAAGTAAAGTGGCGAAAATCGTTTACAGCCTCCGTGGTCCGGGAGCAGATCAGCCTCCTGTTGGTCTCTTTACCATGGACAGAGACACTGGCAATCTGTATGTAACACAGGCACTGGACAGAGAGAACCAGGACAAGTACAGAGTAAGATGTTCTGATCCTTCATTCTGCTGTCATGTAACATTTTTCAACTCCCTGCTGTCTACCAGTAGGTCAGTGTGTGTTTAGTGGTCAGTGTTCAACCCTGTCAATTTTTCAATAAAACAACTGAGGACATATTAATATGGAGGAACAATTATAAAGTTATTTAAAAATGTTCGGTTGCCCAAGGAGATGATTGTCTTGCAGGAACACTGATTAAATACCTTGGATAGAAAGCGTTAAATGAAGCAGGGAAAAGCAAATGGAAGCGTTTCATAAACTCCCATGTTGAGCAACGGCCCTCGTGAGGTGAGCTAGTTCCACCCCCACAAGGAGGAAGTGAATTAAAGAGTCACACTATTTGAGAAAACAGTGTACAAATTGCTCACCAACACATCTGTGTAAGCAACGCTACAACATGTGGCTGTCAGCAGCAGCTCTAGAGTCTGGAGCTGCATTGTCTGCCGAAGAAGCGTCACAGTCCAACCTCACTTCCAAGAGAAATCTCTGAGTGTTTCATCAAAGTTTCACAACATAAATCTCAGGAACGCTGCTGCCAGCCAGCAGGAGCTTTCCAGCTATTTTGACAAAAAGTTGATGAAAGAAATACTAACTGTACATTTCTTTGCAGAACAGGTTTTATGCAATTATTTCAAACCACCCAGCATGAAAGTTACTAACAGTCTCCTGGTGAAATGGGGTAAAATATTGTAAACGTAATTGTGTCTCTGCAGTTAGAAGCACTTGCAGTGGAAGAAGGACAAGCTGAAGCATCTGAGACCATTGAAATAATTGTGAATGTCATCGATCAGAATGACAACAAACCAGTTTTCAGCAGAGACACCTTCCAGGGAGAAGTGCCTCAGTCCTCACCTAAAGGTACATCCTGTCAACCTGATGTGAGCTTGAAGAACTAGCACACTGGACACTTTTCTGTTAAGCCTGTCACGATACTCAATAAGCAATTAATCATATAATAAATTAAAAAGAGATAAATAATTTCCTTTTGCATCATTTACTGTTTTTCTCTTTTTCTACCAAAAATTGGACGACAAAAATCTTCTAATTTGTCTAAACTAGCCGTTTATTTTGAAGGGAAATATAATTGATTTTATTTGTTGTTTCTGTTATTTTATTTATGTTGTATATCAAAAATGTTTTTGAGTTCCAGGGTTTAAATGTCCATTGCAATTGAAAGTTTATTCATCTTTGAGAATGCGTTCTTCCATTATCATTATGTTACTTAAAATTGGCCTCAAAACAACAATATTGTTGTTTATTGCAATAACTTGCAAACAAAATTTGACCAGGGACAGTATATGCCCTGACAGACCTGATCTCCATGCAGGTTGTTTGCAGTGACCTGAGGCTCTAATGCAGCAACATCTCAGCTAATCCTGGATGCTGGAATACACAAATAATTTCATAGAAATACACCTGTGCAAATATATCAAAGTATCCATCCATCCATTTTCTAACACCCTTGTCCCTGGTGGGTCATATGCTGGTGTCTGTCTCCAGCAAACGTTTCAGGCGAGAGGTGATCGCCAGTCCAAGTTTGGAACAACTACCAAACCTGTTGGTAACGTGGCATGGCCAGGCTCAAGTAGCAATTTGGTCGTAACTGCAGCTGCAGATGAAACTGGTAAATGGAGCCTGATAGACTGCAAGTCACAGTCAAACTCACCGTGTTCCTGGCAATTTGTTGTCACATTCATAACCAGGAAAGCAGGTACAACAGACACAGAAGGTTGTACTGAATCTGTGAAATGTTCAGATTCACGGATCTGAATCTGTGAACCAGATTTGCAACATATTTAAGTCTCTGCACTTCATCTCAGATTTGGTGTTTTTCTTCTCCTCCAGAGGGTTTTGTGTTTCATTTCTTTTTCTGTGACTCTTACCTTCAGGTTTTGAGGTGATGACGGTTCAGGCCACAGATGCTGATGAGGGCAATTCGGACAACTCCGATGTCTGCTATCGCATTATAAGACAAGAACCCGAAGAACCAAATCCTTCCATGTTCGCAATCAACTCGACTACTGGGCTTATCACAGTCGACGCTGCGGGGCTGGACAGAGAGGTGACGTCTAACAAAACAACACAACCACTTTTGTAATGTAAAGCTCCAGCAAGCTATCGCTTTCCTTGATAAAAACTCTTGTGCAGTCTACTTTAAGGAATATAAAATGTACAACAGGGAGATGCACAATGTCATATACATCTGCTGTTGTCTTTATTCCTGCTGCTTATAAATCTAAGAATTTGTAAAAAAAAAAAAAAAAATGAATGCAATGAATGTAAAGAATGAATGTATGAATTAAATAGATGTATGAATTAATGTCAATCAATCAGACCCATAAGATGCCTCGAGTGTTCGCACTCATGTTTTCACATTTCGTGGCATCACAACCTCAAACTTGTGTTTTTAATTTGGGTTTTGTGGGACAGAACTAACACAACGCAGTGCATCACTGTGGAAGTCACAGCACACAGTCATGGCAACAGTGGAAGTGGACGTCATTTATCAGATGGTTTTCACATGTTTTCATCAAAACTGACAACTGTGTCATATTTTCAGCTGAGTCAATACTTAGTGGACTGAATCACACCAGGCTGGAATCTGCTGGCTCAGGCCTTTCACAGCATCCATCAGGTTTTCTGACAGGATTCTCCTGTTTAGCTCCATTTATCTGTCGTATTGGTACTGATCAAATAGACCCCCACACCAACCACTCTTCCCACTCGGTGACTTCTTCTGTTGATTAGTTGCACTTTCTTTTCCATTAGAACCGTAATTGTTTTTTTTACATTCTGATGCAGTTTAGAAAGCATCTGTTAGGAAGCTCATTGTAAGAATTGCACAATCCTGCATTTCTGTGCAGTCTGTTAGCTTTTTGTGCCAGTGGAGATTGTAAACAAGTCGCTGCATCTGTCGTCACAGAAACACCCGCAGTACACACTCACAGTGGTAGCTGCTGACATGAGAGGCCTGGGCCTGACTGGAAGAGCCAAAGTCATCCTAACTATAACCGATGGTTCTTCTTCCCCTGTGAGTACGACGCAGCAAGCATTGAAGAACGGACATGGAACACTGTGGCTGTCACTGAAGGCTTTGTGCTCCGCAGGCTGGCTGGCTGTTTTCTGACATTACAGTTCCTGAGAACAGAATCGGACCCTTCCCTTTACGGGTGGCTCAGGTAACTTCTCTACACCTCCTTTATAACTGTGCATCTGTGTCATCGAAAATATGTTTTGAAAAACATGCAAAGGCGCATGCGTGTCTGTACCATTGTGATGAAAACGTCCTGCAATAAAGAACAGAGCTCAGTTTGTCAGGTGAACACACAGTTCTCTGCATTAGATGTTTTAAACTAATATTCTGTAATATATTTATAATTATAGCCTAATAATTAGCATTGCTGTCAGCTTATGTGGGTCCCTGTATCATTTGCACCAGCTACGCTTTAATGATGATGAAACACAGAAGATCCTTTACAGCATCACTGGTCCGGGAGCAGATCAGCCTCCTGTTGGTCTCTTTACCATGGACAGAGACACTGGCAATCTGTATGTGACACAGGGACTGGACAGAGAGAACCAGGACAAGTACAGAGTAAGATGTTCTGTACCTTCATTCTGCTGTCATGTAACATTTTTCAACTCCCTGCTGTCTACCAGTAGGTCAGTGTGTGTTTGGTGGTCAGTGTTCAACCCTGTCAATTCTTCAATAAAACAACTGAGGACATATTAATATGGAGGAACAATTATAAAGTTATTTTAAAATGTTAAATTAACAAACAAAATGTAATCAGTCAGCAAATGTCATCCAAGTCTCAAAACAGGATGATGCAGACTGATTTTACCCTGCATGTTTTTTTTTTTTGTTTTTTTTTAACAAAATTACTGACTTGACTTTGACGTCCCCGTACGATCTTAAGCATCCAAACAGTTTCAGAGTCATTTAAAGGCACAGAGTGCTTAACAATTGGCTGTTCGTGATCCGGCCTCTGTGATTGTGATAATAGGCATGTTGCATCACAAGTCTATGTGAGTGAAATGAAAATCCTTAATATGAGGTGATTAAAAATGGCATCTCTGGTGTTTCCATGCCTTTCATTTAGTTTTTCCAACCTCTGCAATACGCCTGACTGTATGAAAAATGCTCTCTAAATAAAGTTTGATTGGTGCAGCCATGAAGTGTTTCTTATCGCGTTTACTTTGACGCTGAAAATGAGACACTGCATTCCAGTCGGTGTTTGTGCAGTTGCAGGTAAATGCTGTGGCAGAGGATGGAGGGGCGACAGTCGGACAGATGCAGGCTGTGGTCAAAGTTGCCGACCAGAACGACAACTCACCTGTTTTTAATAAAGTCACCTACGAGGGAGAAGTGCCTGAAGCCTCACCCATAGGTACGCTGACAGCAGGGTTCAATGACTGAAACAAAGAGAAAGTAGGAAAGGAGAAATGTCTTCTGCTGTTATCTGTTGGGATAGCAACATCATAGCCAGTGACTTTGAATTAATTTTTGATTTAAAATGGGAAAATACAGCACATCTCACTGAAGGAGAGATGTGCTGCACCAGGTTATAGCTACCAATGCTAATATTGCAAGAATAATTCCTTTTTGGGATTTATTATTTTGGAAGAAAATTCAAGCATTTCTGCTCCCACAATGCATCATAACATCTTTGTCATGATTCTCACAAAAGAAAAGAAAATGTTATGATTGATGGACACTGCACTGTGAGCAGATATATTTCTGATTTGCTAACGTTGAGCACTGCAACACAATGCCTTCTCTTCGTTTCCTTTCTTCAGGTTTCGAGGTGATTAAAGTGGAGGCCACAGATGCTGATGAGCCAAATACTGAAAACTCAGAGATTCGCTATAGCATCATGAGCCAGGAACCAGCGGAACCCTCCATGTTTACCATCAACCCGGTTTCTGGAGCCATCACTCTGAGTGCTGATGGACTGAATAGAGAGGTACTCCTTAAAAACCGAGCTTCCCAGCTGAAATGATCAGCCTGTGCTCAGTGTTGCAGCTGCTCTGATGGCCTCACTCCTGTCTCCTCCAACAGAAACACCCTCAGTTCACTCTGATGGTCAAAGCGGAAAACTCTGCTGGCGCCACTTTATTTGCGCAAGTTAAAGTAACTCTGACCGTGACAGCAAACTCTGTGAGTACAACCCAGTTATTGACTGCATGACTGACTTTTTTTTATTCTGGCTACGTCACTGCTTCTCAATTTCAGTCCTCTGGCCCATCACGGCTCATCACGCTTTTATTTTTGAAAACCGACACACAAAATGAAACAGTCACGTGACCCATGCAATGTGAGGCATCACCTGTTGCTAGTCACGTTACCTGACACAAGCGTCGAAGCAGGGCTTCATCTGACATGGTACACTCCTTGAAGCCTGGCTTCAGATGGCCCATCACCAGTGATGGGCTTAAATTGGGTTGAGAGGCAAATTTCAGACAGGAACCACGAGGTTGATTGCAGGTGTGAGTGAAGGGAGAAGGAGGCAGGCTGAGGAGGGAGAGAGAGAGGATGTGACACTGGGGGTGAGGGAGAGCAGACAGGGAAATAGGAAATGAATCTAACACTACAGGATAACTTGACTAAAGAGACATGAAGAAATGAGAGTGAAAAGAAAAAGTATAAGGAATAAACATAACTAGAAACACTAAGAAGGACTGAAGTAAAGGGAAACAAGAACAACACAGATCTAACTGAAATGTGAAAGTAACACAAAATAATAACAAAACTAGAATGAAATCAAACTACCAAAGCAACAACCTGAGAATATCTTCCCTGATGACATGGGAATATTGCCAGGATTCATCAGCCTGGTTTGTGAAAGAGCAGCTCAGATAGCAGGAAACATGACATTCACAAATGGATCATCCAATCCAATCCACTCCTTCTAATCCATAGGCGTCCATGACTCAGGCTGGCGGAGCAAAGAGGAGGAAGAAGCGTTTTTCTGTCATGGAAAACTGAAAAGGAGCTCACCCATTACAGCTCACTCAGGTAAAAGGAAGTCCAGTATTTCATGTCTGAGAGTTTGATGCTGAAATGCAGTGTTGGATTGAGAAAGTCTCTTCTCCTAAAAAACGGCAGCGTGACAAAAACTGAGTCTGATTTAAGCACAGAACTTCTGGAACAATATTCTTTGGACAAGTGAGACCAGATAGAGATGAGGGGAAATGGCCCTGATACTGACCCATAAACACCTGCAGCTGAAAGTCAAGCCTGGTGGTGGAGGACATGATGACATGTCCTTGTTTTGTAGCATCTTGTATTGAGTTGACTGCTTCAGAGTCAAGATCTGTTTCATATCCTTACACCAGAGTTTGATCTGTTTGAACACCTACATCGAATATGTCGAGTCCAAACAACCAACAGAAAAGGGTCAGAAAAGGATCCATGAATATGTTGGACTTGCATTAGGCCATTGACGGCCTGATGGCTGTATTGGTTTAACCTGGATCCATCTCTGTATTGCTGGATCAGCTACGACATCCTCACTGTCCCTGTGACATGGTTGACCATCGCAGAGGATGAAGGCGTGGATACATTGAAAGGTTCAAGAGTCCCTGTCTGTCAGCGAATACATTATGATGATTACATTATGATGATGGTCTGTGGGAGGACTTGTGAGATGTAATGTGGGCCCTCTGTTCACTTCATTGCATTTCACTTGTGTAAATTTGTCTCTCTTGTCTCTGTAGATGAAGCTCCAGCTGCCAGTCAGCTCTGAGTTCAGTCATTGAACAGAAGTGAGATCTTCCTATATGAGGAGCTTTTCTGCTGCGGAGGAGACCTGACATGAAAATGTGTGTGTGAAAAGTGTGCTTAAGAGGAATCTTTGCTTCTCTCCATTTATTCCTGAGAGATGGTCTACAGGACCATCTCTCAGGCATCTTTGCAGATTTTCATTTCCCTGAAAGTGAAACAAGAATGTGATTTTTTTTCTGCAGCTGTTGGTATCAGGTAAAGGTTTATAGCTTCTATTTGTTCCTCCACATTGTCTATATAGAGGAACATATGGTGATGTACCTGTATGACTTATAGGGTCCTCCATTAATTTGTCATGAAATAACACTGTGTGATATGTAATCTGATCCATTTATGTCTCTAATAAAACTTTGACTGTTCTTCAAAAACTTTTAAAGGAGCATTCTGTAAATGTACATTTAGAATGTTGTTATTAGACATCTAATATTTCTAATGTTCTCCCATATTCCAGATTTAAGTGTTGGTGATTAGCATTGAGCATCATGAGGGGTCAACATAAGCACAGGCATGTTCACTAAAGTAGAATATTACTGAAAAGTTTATGCATTTCATTTTGTCAAACACATTATACATTATTTCCACACAGACTGACATTTTCAAGCCTTTATTTCTGTTGATTTAGATCATTTTCTGCATCCAGCTGATGAAAACATAACATTTAAAATTATAACCCAACATCAGACCAATAAAAATATTTTCAATATAAAAATGTTGTATAAAAAAAAAACACGGTTGTTAATTTTAAAATCCACTTTTAATCTGAGAAACAAGCCGCATACGAACCAATATTCTAATTTATTGAATATTGCTGTGGGAGATAAAGGTATTTTCAAATGTCTATATGTCGTTTGTCTTTGCAAGTTTTTCTTTTTTGTTTTATCTTATGCTTCATACTTTTGTAAAACCTGCTTTGGAAATAAACTGTCTGTTTGCTGTTTCTATATGTCATTGTTTACTGGGGCCGTTTCATGACTCAAACTTGAGTCTTTAAATGCAAATAAAATTTTGGTCTGTTTTGTTTCAACTTAATTCTGAACAAGTGTCGCATGTCTCAATACGTTTTAAAAGATTGATCAAATTCGGCAATAAATTTTGAGTTAATGGGCTAAAACAACTTGCTGGGCATATCACTTAGAAAGTCGGGTAAAGATTGAAATGGTTTCATTGTTTGTTGTAGCCACAACTCACAATGGAAAATTTAGAGAACTTCTCTGTCCACCTGGGGGGGGAAAAATCTAACTAATATAAAAATGTTTTTGATGAAGTAATACATTTTTAGCAATCTCTTATCTCTCTATAGGATAGAAAAAAAAACAATTTAAAATAAAAATATTAGCACACTCATAAAATGAGGTCAAACTCACTTATTGTAATTCTAATAAAATACTGTAACTTATTATTGAATTTGCTTTATTTTGGGGCTTTTGTTAGGGCGGGCCATTTCTGACCCATAGGACTGGGGGAGTAAACAGGATGTTAGGATCACACGAGGGTTAATTAGATTCATCTAAAATTTTATTTTTGTCTACTAAACCCTCTGGGTGTCGTTGGCAGACAAAGACACACATGAGGAAGAACCTGGTTCACCGTAGGACCTGACATCGTCACATCTGTGCTTGTCCAGCAGATGGAGATGAAGCCTGCTGTACTTGATTTGCAGATCTAAAGTCTGTTTTCAACACACCTTCAACAGACCTTTTGTTGGAGCTGGTTTTACTGGTTTGCGAATGTCCAGTCACACGTGGTCACACAAAGTTACCCAGTAACTGGTGACTCAGACTCTGTTGTTTTCCCGAAAATGTGTTTCTGCGAGTCGCGACCTGCCTGCCTGGTTTATCCGGGTTCTGCTTTGTTGCTTTGAGTTAAATCCAAAGCTAAATCTCCTGCAGCAGCGCTGCAGTCAGACTCAAAGAATCTACAGGACCAACTCTTAAACTGACTGTTGTACAAAAACCAACAGCACTAAAATCCTGGAGTAAAGCACATGATGAACATATCATGTGTGTTCATTATTTAGTTTGTTCATTAGTTAGTTAGTTTTTGCTGAACGCAGATGAATTTTTCTTCTATTATGCAGACTCTGTCATGATGAGCAAGCTTGACCGTTTTTCTTTAAGTTCAAATACCAAAACATTCAGTCTTCAAGTCCTCAAGTGATCCATTAAGATAATGTGCTTTGTGAAATTTAGTTTCACAAAGCACTTCAGTCCAAATGTTGGACCTTAAAGGCCACACCATAAGGGTTTTCATGTGTTGTTGTTGTGTATCATTATCTCTGATCTTTTTATGTCTATGTGGGCCATGAGTCTGATGAATAAATCAGCCATAAAATGCTAAAAAAAAAAAAAAAAAAAAAACGAAAAACGTAAAAAACTTTGGAGAAGTCTGTCTCATATTCTACAGGCCTGGGCAGGTTAATGTCTTGATTAGAAACACATCAAACAAGCCGCATTGCAACAGTTGCCTTTTTCACTGAGGACATGTGAGTTTCGGATGCCTGTCTGTGCTGCACAGCACTGAGGATTAGGGATTGTTGGAGGTCAAAGATAAAAGAGTTATGGTTGACAGAAACAAAACAATGATTCCAAGCAGATCAAACCTGAGTAGCACATCCGTATAATTCACACCGATTAAAGACACTGATGGGGACGAGGATTTCTGCACGTTTCTGCTGCTAAAGCTAAAGTTTGGAGTAGATGGAGTTTTTCACTCATTTCTTCCTTAAGTTGGCTGCAGGTTGAATTTGATACTGCCTCCAGTAATTCACATATAATCCTTTCTTTCGTTTTCGTCACTCTGGTCGGACGGCTCCAAAACACTGGTATCACTCTGAGTCAGAGGAAACATGTTGGCAAAAGTATAAATTGCTTTCTTCTTCAATCTACCAGACATATGAATAATGTTGAACCAAACAGTATGTCTTTAGGCCTACTTTGTGTACAAATCTGAATATTGAAACAAAAAGGTCTCTGATGCTACAAGGTTCCAGGAGGATCGATGTCCTTCAGACTATTTGTAGTTCTTTACAAATAGAAAACTACAAATCTTCTCATTTGTTTTCTTTAAGTCAGACTCAGCAGTGTGTCAAAAAACAATATCAGTCTTGAAACTGAAAGCACAGCCTGCAGTGATAACGATCAAACCTGTGGGTATTACCGACACACCTTACCTGACGTGGTGTTCTTGGAACTGAAGTCAACCTCAGACGTGTCTGTGTGTGTCTGCTTTGGCAATGTTCTGTGTTCATAACAAGGAGCTGCAGGGTTAGAGCTGCTGTTTTGGACTCTGGCCTTTCCAGAGCCGAAAATGACCTTCCCATTGCTGAGCACCGAGAAATAAATCTACACTGTTAGAAAAAAAAAAAAAAAAAAAACAACTACAAACATCTGAACATTTACACTAGCTTATTTTTACAACAGCAAATTACGGCTGTTCATCAGTCTCAGTATTTCTGCAGGACATTTACGTTACTGTATATTTTAAATAATGAGTAACTGAACTGCAAAGATCAGGAGTTTAGTTAAGTTGAGGGTAGATGCTGGTGGTTCGGTGCCTCCTGCAGCCTGAGTGAGGCTCGTTGTTCTACAGCCAGACTTCCATCTGCTTCTGCGACTCTTTTAACTTGTATCTGAAGTGCAGCGCAGCTGAACTGATACAGGCTGAGAAGAAACTCATTGATGTCTTTTCATGCGGGGAACTGAACTGACGCTGAAGTGGAATGGTTGCTGTTCCTGCCCTGCTCCCCTGTCTGCTTGAACGGTGGATTTGATCCTCATGTTTACCGAGGTCGATGACTGTAATTGTAAAGAGCTGCCCCACCCACAGCTGTGGATGCATGACAATAGACGGCACACAGAGTTAAAGCTGCGGGGTGTGGCCTGGAGATTTGGTTCAGATACACATCTCACAGCTCCTGTCCTCAGGCAGACTCACCGCACCACAGATTAGAGGGGATGTGGAATGTTGTCGTCTGTCCGGTCAGCCCAATGTTTTACAGCTCACTCTGTCACCAAAACCAGTACCGGGATTAATATTTAAAGGATTACTTAAATGCAGAAAGTCTTTGGGGAATAATGAATGCTTCTTTGTGCGTTTAGCAGCTTTAGAGCAAATAAGGATTTGTACTGGATAAGAGAATCCTGAAGTCGTTCCTGGCAACTTTAGTTTGGTTGTTAAGTGTTGTATGAGCTACCATACTGACTACAGTGACACAAAGTAACACAAACCAAAAGACAACTTAACTTCAAGCACAGAGCTATAAATATATCCTGCTGATAAAAACTATTATTCCTGTTGTGAGGGTCGACTGAACAGCTGACTTTAAGGTACTGGGTTCAAAGGACGTAATTTGAGGAGGATGTAGAATAAATGTTATTTCTGCTCATTTGTGCTCATATCGGCTTTTCTATATGAGTACAAATGAGACATTTTTTCATTGGTTTGTTTTGTTTATGTTTGTTTGCAGATGTCCATTGAACAGCTGCATGTTCTGTGAGCTTCCTGACTTGATACTGAAACAAAAATTGATTTCAGTTTGATTTCAAGTTGTCATGTTCAAGTTCCAAGTCAAAGCAATCAGTGAGAAAATCTTCCCAATTTAGAAATTGGACAGGAAATGCTCAAAGTTTCCACACCAACCCTCACCTGTTCTGAAATGACTGCTGCATGCTGCCACTATATTTGCTTTTCTGTCAGTCGGTATGGAATCATCACATCTTTATGTGATTAATGCACCAACATTTCATGCTGTGCATCTCCTCCTGAGTAGAATGAATGTGTTTCTCCAGACTTCCATGAATTTCAAAGACACGTCAGAAAATTTCACTCATTAGCATGGAGAGATGATCTCATATGTTGTGCGCACATTCACCGCTGCTACATTTGCATAGTCATGTCAGTGAGCTGACTCTAACGCGACCTGATCTCATGCTACATAACGCAGGTTAACATCGATAAACAAAGGTTTGTCAATGCACAGTCAGCTTCTCTGCACCAGGAGGTTTGACATCTGTAAGTGGGTGTAAAATGTTCTCATTCCACTTTGTTGTCATCTCCATCGTTCGCAGGCTGGAAATGAACAGAGCCATGCTTCACACTAAAATATGTTCTTTATCAGACAATTCTTCAAGTCCTGTGAGTTTCTGTGACTCTTGTCTCACAAGATAATCTTGAGCTGTGACTTCTTGCAACTTATTTCAAGTCTGTGGTGTCCCACCTGTGTAACAACCCCCACTGCCAAACACACACACATACACACACACCTACACACACACACACACACACACACACACACACACACACACACACACACACACACACACACACACACACACACACACACACACACATCCTTTAAAGCACCTAATAAAGAGGAAGTGGTAAAACATCATGTGGTAAAAATTGTTAAGTTAAAGTAGCTCAGCTTCTGCTTATAGCTCTGGTTTCCATGTCTGCTTCAAATGTTAAAATTGATTTTTGAGCCAGTTTTATTTTGTCTGTCAAATCTGTTTTCAAAGTGATGGGAAATAATTTTCATATATTTGCATTGAAATGTTCAGTCAAATGTTTATTTCATTCTCATTTGCAGAGGCCAGACTTCATTTTAATGGTTCATTCTTTAATGTAAGTTTATTAAACTGGAAATATAGGAAGCAAAGCATTTGATGGACATTTCTACAGACATAGACACATTTTAGATCTATTGCAAAATGAGTGATTTAAAAAGTCTGCAATAATTGATAGAAAACTAGATTTTCTAATCATTATATATTCATATTTATTTTTTGTCAAACTCCTTTCCTCTTTATTTTAATTTCAGCATGCAAGCACACATAAAACTCATGTTTCCAATTCACTCAGTATCAGTATGCAGCACTAACTCACTCATCATCTCAAGGGACTTTTATACGACAATAAAGCCACATTCTCTATATTCAT